TTGCAACATGTCAAATTATGTCAGACAGAGCTTCAGAATCCTTGCCTCCAAGGAGGAACCTGGCTTCACCCTCTCCAGGACAAACTTGTTTGTTCTCCAAGCAGTCCATGGTATATTAAATACTCTTCTCCAGCACCAAAGCTCAGGGCATCAACTCTCCTAGTCATTGTCCAGTTCTCTGATACATAGCAAGTAATTGCAAAGACCATGGCCTGGATCAAATGCACCTTAGTCTCCAGACTGACATCTTTGCTCTCCAGTGCTTTGAGAGGTCCCTGACAGCAGACTTCCCCAATGCAATTTGTCTTTTAGTTTCCTAACTGCTGGTACAAAGAATTGTTGACTGTAGAGTCAGTCCTTGAAGATGCTTGGAAGCACAACAGAGGAAGACCCTGGATGAGATGGATTAATTCAGTGACTGGGGTAATGGAGGAAGATAAGTCAGAAACCATGAAATAGGCTCAAGAGCCCTCAGGTTTCAGAGCTATTGTATATAAGGTTGCTATGAGTCAAAAGTGACTTGACAGCACATAACAACAACAATATTGTAACAGCATTGCTTTCTTATTTCCTTCTCTGTTTCAGTAGAGGAATCCATTGACTTTGTATATTCTTCTTGTATCTTGTGACTCTACTAAATCAGTCTACTAGCTTTAAAAGTTTTTTTGTTGAGTTCGTGAGGTTTTCTGTGTATATTATCATATCATCTGCATATCGCAACAGTTTCACCATCTCTTTGCTGGTCTAGATGCCTTCTCTTGCTGTATAGCCCTAGCAAGTACTTCCAGTACAATGCTAAATAGGAGTGGTATAAGTGGGTATATTTGTCTGGTGCCTGTTTGCAATGGAAATGCTTTCAATCTTTCTCCATTGAGAATGATACTGGTTCTTGGGATTTGTGTATATGCTTTTTACTATATTGAGGAAATTCCCTTCTATTCCTATTTGGCTGAGTGTTTTGATCATGAAGGAGTACTGAATTTTGGTCAAAGGTCTTTTCTGCATCAATTGCTAGGAATATATGATACGTATTATTTGCTTAGTTAATGTGATGAATTCTGTTGTTTTTCTTATGTTGAACGTTCCTTGTATACCTGTTATCCCACTTGGCCAGGATGAATTCTTTTTTTAATATGCTGTTGGATTCTATAGGCCAGGATTTTGTTAAGAATTTTTGCATCTGTATTGATGAGATATGTTGGGCTGTAGTTTTCTTTTTTGGTAATATCTTTGCCTAGTTTTGGTATTAGGGTTATACCTTGCTTCATAGAATGACTCTGGAAATGTTGGTGTTTTTTTCTTTAATCCTTTAAATAGAATTGGTGTTAGATCTTCTCTAAATATTTGGCAGAATTCAGTCATGGAGCCTTCAGGGCTAGGACATTTTATGGAGAAGTCTTTTGACCCATTTGAAAAGCCAGCTTTTGGTCTTGTTAATGGTTTCAATTATTTTCCTGTTTCCTATCTATTCATTTCAGCTCTTTTCCTTATAATTGCCTTTCTTCTAGTGGCTTATGGTTAGATTGCTGTTGTTTTTCTATTTGATGAACGTATTGAGTTAGATCATTGATTTTTCTTCTTTCTTCCTTTTTTATGTGTGTGCCTATTGCTAGGAATTGCTCCCTGAGAACTGCCTTAGCTACATCCCAGAGGTTTTAGTATGTTGTATTTTTATTTTCATTTGTTTCAAGGAACATTTTATTTCATTCTTTTTTTCTTCTATTAACAAATTATTTAGAGCAGGTTGTTACTTAACTTCCACATGAGTGATTTATAAGCTTTACCCTCCTGTGATTAATTTCTAGTTTTATTGCATTGCTGTCTGAGAAGATATTTTTTTTTAATTTTGGCAAAACTTTATAAGATGTGCTTTAGATGCTCAATTAACATAGTCCAGTTGAGAATCTGAAAAAATACAGATTGACATAACAGTCTGTATACACAGCAGCAGGATTTTAAAAATTGTAACAATTGTTAGGTATTTGTGACTTATGTTTATTCAAATTCACTCCTTTAAAGCACATTTTTTTCATTCTCTTATAGAAGGAAAAGTCCATTTTCACACTCCAATGTTTATCCCTAAGGATTACCCTAGAGTCTAAACTATATCCATTTCTTATTTCTAAAAATAAGAAATTGTACATTGAACAAGATAAGAGAGCCAAGTGAACCAAGTCGTTCTCAATTTCCCCAGATAATACTTGTAATGAATTCTTATTTATAGGTGTCCTTTACTTAGAGACATTTTAGCTAAGTGGTATTTCCATTTAGAAAATGTAACAGCATAGTCTATTCAAAGAGGTTCCTGATGATACCCTTCCAAAAATTTTTAGTAGTAGGTGATGAGAAGATATTTTGTATTATTTCAGTGTTTTTTTAATTTGTTGAGACTCGCTTTGTGTCCTAATATATGCTTAATTTTGAAGAATGCATCATGTAACCAAAACAGCATGGTACTGGTGAAACGACAGGTACAGAGTCCAAAGGAACAGAATTGAGAACCCAGAAATTAACTCTATCTATCTATCTATCTATGGTCAGCTGATATTTGACAAGGAAATAAAAACCTATTAAATGAGAAAATGACAACCTCTTCAACAAATGGTGTTGGCAAAACTGGACTGCTACCTGCAGAAAGCTGAAGCAGGGTCCACACCCCTCACCACACACAAAAATTAACTCAAAGTTGATCAGAGACCTAGCAGTAAAGCCCAAAGCCATAAAAATCATAAGAAGCCAAGTGGGACGAATATCAGAAGGCCTAGTCCATGGTATAAAGAGACTGACAAATACAGCCAGAAATACACAATCAGGAGAGGATAAAACTGATGAATGGGGCTTTTAAAGATTAAATCACTGTGCACATCATCTCAAAGGTCTCCTAACAAAATTTTACAGAACACTACAGGGCCTCTAAAAGAAGACTGATAAATAATTACAAAATGGGCAAAAGACATGGAAAGACTTTTCATAGAAGAAGACATTTGCATGACCACCAGGCACATGAAAAATTGCTTAAAACCACTAGCGATAAGAGAGATGCAAGTAAAAACTACAAATAAGGTACCATTTCCCCTAAGTAGCAGTGGCAAAGTTTAACGGGACAGCAAGCAATAAATGTTGGACAGAATGCAGAGTTAGGAACTGTCATACACTATTGGTGGGATTACAACCACTCTGAGAGGCAGTTTGTTGTTACATCAAAAAGCTGAACATAGAAATTCCATATGACTCAGCTATTCCACTGCTAGGAATACACATCAAGAAAATCAGAACCGAGACATTAGCAGAGATTTTACACCAATGTTTATAGTAACTTTATTCTCCATAGCAAGAACCTGACGTTTGTTTCTTAATATTGTTTTAATTGTTATTGTAATGAGTGTACAGCAAGTTTGGGTTTTCATTCACTCATTAATGCACATTTTCCCTCTCCCTCCCCTTCCTTCCCTCTCTCCCAATTCACCATGTAGTACACTTCTTATTTCAGATTGTTCATTATCATTCAAATAATGCCTAATCATACATTCCTTTGATATTTCTTTCCTTCCTCTGTTCCAGAGTAGCGTTCATTATCTATCCACTTTTTTCCTGTTCTGCCCCACTTTATGTCAGTCCTAATTTAGAGCAATGGTTTTATGCAGTATTTGTCCTTTTGTGATATAGATATTTCATTCAGCATAATGTCTTCCAGATTCATCCATGATGTGTACTGTTTTACTAGTTCATCATTGGTTTTTTTTTTATTGTTTGTTTTTTTGGTTTTGGGTTTTGTTTGCTTTTCTTTTTTCCTTAAGTTCATTGTTTTTAATGCTGTCTAATATTCCATTGTGTGAAGGTACCACAGTTTTTCTATCCACTCATTTGTTGAGAGGCATTTGGGCTGCTTCTACCTCTTCACTTTTGTGAATGTGTTGCTGATTGTCATTGGGTTAAGGATGACTCATAGCAACGCTATGAACCAAAGGCCTGAAGCCTTTCTATAACTATCATCATTTATCGAAGTTCATAGAGTTTCCAGAGGCATGTTGTTTAGGAAGTAGATGCCACTCCTTCTTATTGTTAACAGAACTGCAATAAACATGAATGTGAATTTGTTTTGGCTTCTTAAGCTCTTGATTTGCACCAAACAACTAGACAATGAAGTTCATTGACTGTTCTGGCCATTTCTATATTACTTGGTTTCACACATATATTTAATTTATCCTAAGAGTTTCTTTTTTTCAAGTTGAATACCATAGGAAATTTAGGATGGGTCAGAAAGGTGCCTCTCCACTGCGAAAAAAAAGATGATCCTAAGTGAGAATGTGGGGAAAGAGTTGACAATATTCTCAGCTACTGGTACATTCTCCAGTGGACAAAATGTGTTCAGGAATGTTAAAGAGCTACAATTGCATCATCTGCTCCCTAAAGACTATCTATGCATACCCAGTGTAATGACCTTGGCCTCACAGATGTCTTGTTTTAATGAAGAGAAAACATAAAATCATTAAATACTCCTTTATTTAATGCTTGTGGGCAAATCATGCTTCCAAAGCCCAAGGCATTTTCAGAAACAGTTTGATCCACTTAAACATTGGAATTTTGTTTACTCTATTCAAGGGCTTAGCAAATTCTTTCTCAGTGGTTATGTAAAGTTCAACCTCATACCTTCCAAATTACCTCAAATTCTGAACTACTAAAATTCTAAATTGTACTGCGGGATTTTGGTGGTACAATATTAGTATCAATAATGTCATAAACAATTTATGCATTCATTATTTTTCCCATGGAATAAAATTGATTAGCTATAAATTCGCTCTCTTGTGCCAATTTATTATGTGTCAAGCATTCATGCCTTAAGTTTTTCAAATGAATCTTTGAGGCCTTAGCAACCAAACTAACAAATCTTGAGCCGTACAAAGTGAGATAATTGTGGTTCTCTCACAAAAAGTTTGGTGGCCAGAGATCTTGGCTGCACTTGGAACAAGCTCATGTTCTTTCCTTCTCTTGCCTTTCAGAAAGACGATCCTGATGACTGCCCCATCGAACTCAGCAAAGTGCAGAGCGTGAAAGTGGTGGCCAAGAAGCGCAGGGACCGCTCTCTCCCCCGGGCCTTCGAAATCTTCACAGAGAGCAAAACATATGTTTTCAAGGCCAAGGATGAGAAGAATGCGGAAGAATGGCTCCAGTGCATCAACGTAGCAGTTGCCCAAGCAAAGGAGAGAGAAAGTGGAGAAGTAACCACCTACCTGTAGGACTTAGGAAGCTCTGGTGGCTTTAGTGGTAAGGAGTTTAGATGGCCAATCCAAAGGAACATGGTCCGAATCCACCAGCTGCTCCATGGGAGAGGGATGGACACACTCCTCCTCTGCAGTTAACTGCCTCAGAAAACCCACTAGAGCATCAGCTATGAGTTGGCTCCAACTTAACGGTACACATCAACAACAACTATGCCGATTACACTATGCCTGCAAATGTCAGTAAAGTAGCAAGTCCCTAATAATTAACAGAAAAACTGTCATTAAGAAGTAGGCCTTAAAAAAAAAAAAAAGAAGCAGGCCTTAAAATGTCAGAATTATTTTTGAATTGCAGATGCAAACAACATTTGCATCAACTCCAGAGTATCTATCTTTCTGATCCATATAGAAAAAGGGAGCTACAGGGTATCCTCTTCTGTTGTGAGACCACGAAGGGAAAACTCATTGATGTGAGAATTTCTCTGTGTATGTGGGGGGGGGGGGGGGGGGGGGAGAGAGAGAATAATCCTATTTGAAGAAAACAACTTTAAAATATGTGTGAACCACTTACCTTGAGAAAACACTACCAAAACCAAAACCCCACTGCCTTAGAGTTCATTTGATTCCTGATGACTCGCATCAGGTTTCTGAGACTGTGAATCTTTATTAGCAGAGCCTCCTCACCCACCTTCTCACACAGCATGGCTGGTGGATGCCGGCTGCCGGCATTTCACTTAGCATCTCACATGCCATGCACCACTTAGGCACCTTTAATACAGCTGGAGTCTAAGTGTTCAAAGTATCAAAGTATTTTACTTTTTTTAAAATTATTTTTAAAATGTCTTCATAAAAGTTTAATTAAGAGATACTTGAAAAAATATCTCTGTACATACAATCAGATTTATTGTCTCCTAATACAAATGAAAGGGGTTCTAGTAGCTCAGTGGTTAAGTGCTTTGTTACTAACCAAAAAGTTGGCATTTCAAACCCACCAACCATTCTTCAGGAGAAAAAAATATGCAGTCTGCTTCTGTAAAACTGACAGCTTTGGAAATCCTATGGGGCAGTTCCACTCTTTCCTGCTGGAATTTCTCTATCTGTTGGAATTGACTCAATGGCAAAAGGTTGGCTTTTTTATAACACAAATAAGATCCCCGTTTAGTAAAGTAGTTCTCAAGGGATCTCTGGTGGCTTAGCAGTAAGGAGCTGAGCTGCCAACCCAAAAGCACATGGTTTGAATCCACACAAGAGAGATGAGCGGTCTCCTCCCATGTGATTTACTGCACTGAACACGCACTAGAGGTGGGCAGTCAGTTCTGACCCAACAGTACAAAACAGCAACAAAGCAGCTCTCAAGTTAACCCAGCTATGTGATTAAATTTCTTTCAGGATTACTTTCTTGATTGTTATTTTTAGATTTATATAATGTAATTCCAAACTTACTTACCCAAGGCAGTGGTCGTTGTTGTTATTAAGTGCCGTCGAGTCACAGGTGACACATAGCGACCCAATAAAGGAGAGTCCTCAACACTTGGGTGTCTCTCATCCTCTCTCCAGGTTCATAGGGTTTCTGGAGGCAAGATATTACAGAAGTGGATGCCGCTCCTACTTCCAAGCTTGTTTTAATCAGGGAGCTTCACCCCACTCTCTGTCTGCGTTGGGTAGCCAACCATTAACGCATTTGACACATCCGTGTCGCAGTGTTCAGCCTCACAGCAACCACAAGTTACCGCTGTGCGGCAACTTGTACACCAGGGCTATACGACCTAGAGGAATGAAAGACTGGCCTGAGTGCCGCAGGCCCGAGGGCCTTTTAGTGTCTCATCAACTCGGCACGCCCAAATGCTGGCAAAGTCCTTCCACCAGGCCCCGAGTTCATCTGGCATGTCCACTCTGCCGACCCTCACGTGGGGCCCAAAGAACACCAAAATTGCCCTGAGGCCTCAAACCTGCCATGCCTCAAGGATCCAGAGTCCGGATTCAGCTGACATTAAGTCTCTCAAGGCCCCAGGTGGGACACGACCTTTCAGGGTCTCACCAACCTGGCAGTAGGTTGTAAAAAAGCATAAGCACTAAGGAATTGTTTCCTTCACCTTCAAAATATGTGCCATTTCCATTAAATTTTGATATTTTTAAATTACAATTATACAGTTTTCTTCTTTACATCCATTTAAAAATTCGCAAATTAAAAAACATTTCTCGGTTTAGGCCCCAACTTTCTGTATTTTGATAAGCTGTGTTAGAATTCTGAGCTCCAGTCGTTCTTGTATAGTGCCCTCCTCTGGACTGTGGGCTGAACTTAGAAGCAATAGTACACTGCACAGGTGAGGAAGAACCCCTCCCGCAATTATGTTACCATACAGGGAAAAGGGAAAGATCTTTTGCAGATGTAATGAAGTTCCCTAATCAATTGCTTTAAGCTAATCAAGAGGGTATTATTCTGGGTTAACCTGCACAAGTGAGCCCTTCAAGAGAGTGATGAAGTCAAAGAATCTCTTCCTACTGGTCTTAAGTAAACAAGCTGTTACAAGTTCTGTAGTTTCAAGACTATGAATTCTCCCGACAACCACATAAACTTGGAATATAGTGCACAGCCTCTGACGAAGTTCCAGCCAACGCCTTGACTGCAGCTTGTGAGACTCTGAGCAGAAGGCCCAGCTAAACTAGACATGGACTCCTGACCTGTGGAAACTGAGATAATAAATACGTATAATTTTTTTATCTGTTTGATTTGTGTTAATCTGTTTCACCAAAGTAGAAAGCAAGTTTAAAAAGTCAGTTTAGAATACATATAGAAAATAATCTCCCCCCTTGAAATTTGTTGACAGTGAGGTCTAGTATTGAAATCTGAAGAAAGCACAAGGTTATAAGTAATTAATATTCTCATTGCTATTCTTGAATCAACTGCTAGTTCACTAGAATAGGAAGCAAACCAAAAAACCAAATTCATGGCTCTTTAGTCCATTCCCAGGTGGCCTAGTGGCAAGAAGTTGCACAGCAAACCTGAAGCCACATGGTTCAAATGCACCAGCTGCTCCGTGGGAGAAGGTCGGGCAGATGGCACATTTAATTTTGACTTAGACCGTCAGAGCACAAATAGGGAAGTTGCTATTGGACTAGCGAGACATTTTCTCCTCTGAAGTTGAGCAGGGGAAAGGGGTGATGCACAGTTGTAGACAATCCTCAATGTTATCCTAAAATCGACCAGCTCATTCTTAAAAGTCAATGAGAAACCCTAGGTGGTAAATCAATTGGGAAAAACTGGTGGGAGGCAAAGAAAACCATCCCCCGCTTTGTTAGGACAAGTAAGGAAAGATTTATTCCGTGTAAGAATACCAGCATTAAGTGAGATTGAGAATTACACGAGTAAGTGACATTAGTCAATAATTTGAATGCCAACAATGTCCTCAAATCTATCATAGCAGAGAGAATGCAGTTCACATTACTAACATACTGATTTGTTCTGCATTTTAATAATTTCCCTAAGAAAGAAAATTTGAGAGATGAGAAGTCTTTCTTGCTACTACTTATTTAAGTCCTTGAGATTTTATTAAGTGGATGCTTCTAGAACAGTACACAACTCTAAGTCTTAGAACCAGGTCTAATAAGAAAAATTTGTGAAGTGTGAATGATGATCATTCTTGTTTGGTGCACATGGTACAGTAATTTCAAGTGCACGCCCACTCCTCTGGGTTTAGGATGACACTAAGAGTCTCTTTACCCCGGTACTGGCTGGCTGGCTGGCTTACCACAGGACTGGCCTTTCCCAAGAGGGCTGCCCCTGCCAGTTCTAAAGAAGAAAACACGTTATCTAAACATGCTTTTTATAAACATGTTTAAATCTTTAAAAATGTTGGAAATGAATAAAATTATAATCATGGGCTGAAATTCAAGTGATTTTCATTTTTATTGTATTTGATTCCTTTTTTACCTCCCAGATAGCCTTGGAAGCATAAATGTTTATCTGTGAGAATCTCATTTCTTGAGAACCTAGAATTTCATTTGGAAAAACATAAAGAAAAAGATATAAGGGGGAAATTTGGTCCTTGTAACATTGCATTTTCTGGAAAAGTATTGACTGGTGATATGGAGGGGCATATGCTTGATCTTTCGTTTACTTTCTTTCTGCAGGACCACACACTGAAAGGCCTGACTGTCATGCTAACTTGGGCATAAGTAAAGGTTATATGGTAAACAGATTAGAGATAATGTCAGAGGAAAATAGGTGCACTGAATTCAAGGTGCTTTGTGGAAAAATGAAAATGAGCACTGTGGTTTAAATGTGAATATTTCCAGTGCCCTCCAAAAAGGCCCAAAATGTCACTTGGTTCCTAAATAGCACTGGTGCATGGGCGGAACCTTTGGAGTAATTCCGCTGCAAAGATTCTCCCGAAACATAAAGGGTCTGGGAAGACTGGAGCCATCTACTAATTAATGCTGGAGTCTGCAGAAAGTGGACAAGGCTCTTGGTTGAAAATGTTCATTCAAGGTCTGACCTTCACCATCACCACCACCCGTCCTTTCCTCCAACTACAAAAGCAAATTCAACCCCATCATAGGGATTCTGACTCATAAGGACCCTTCACAACAGAGTAGAGCTGACCCATAGGATTTCTAAGATTGCAATCCTTACAGAAACTGTGTCCTCTTTCTCCCAATGAGAGATTGGTAAATTCCAACCTCCAAACTTTCAAGTAGCAGTCTAGTCACTTTAACAGCTGTGCCACCAGGGAGCCTCTAGTTCTACTGAAGTGAGACTATCAACCCGAACAAATGAAACATTTCTCACATTTATATTGGAGATAATATCTACAGAGCAGAATTTGTGGGAGGCTTAAATGTCACAAAAAAAGCACCCGGCATGTAACCTAGAGACCCTTTATCAGGTTTCCAAAGCCGTAATCTTTATGAGGGAAGACCTTGCTACAACAGAAAGCCTGGAGACTTTGCATCATTAGTCTTTCACTTAACAGCCAATTAGGTAATCAATTACTCTTCATTTTTTGCTACCACTAAGA